AAACTGCTATATAGATTCAATGCAATCCCAATTGAAATCCCAGCAGCATACTTCATGGACCTTGAGAAAACAATTGAAAAATTCATTTGGAACAAGAAGAGACTCAGAATAGCAAAAGCAATTCTAGGTAACAGAGACATGGCAGGGGGTATCACAACCCCCAATTTGAAACTATACTACAAGCTACTGTGATAAGAACAGCATGGTACTGGCAAAGAAACAGACCTAAGGACCAGTGGAACAGATTAGAAGATGCCAAAACAACTCTAGACACACTCAGCCAACTCATCTTCAACAAAGGAGCCAAACACCCTCACTGGAGGAAAGATAGTCTCTAATAAATGGTGCTGTAAAAATTGGGTTTCAACTTGTCAAAGATTAAAACTAGATCTATATCTCTCACCATGCACTAAACTAAAATCGAACTGGATTAAAGATCTAAATATTAAAATAGAAATGCTGAATCAGCTGGAACAGAGGTTAGGAAGAACTCCTGAAGACATTTGTGTAGGAAAAGATTTTATGAACAAAACCTCAGTTGCCCATGAACTACCACAAACAATCAACAAGTGGGATCTCTTCATATTAAAAAACTTCTACACAGCAAGAGAAACCACCAGCAGTATGAAGAGACAACCCACAATGTGGGAAAAAAATCTTCACCTGCTGTTCTTCAGACAAAGGTCAACTATCTAGAATTTATAAAGAACTTTAAAAAAATCAGACCTCCCAAATTTAAAGACCCAGTCCAAAACTGGGCATCTGAAATGTACAGACTTTTCTCAAAGAAGTAGAAATAGCAAATAAACATATGAAAAAATGTTCAACATCACTTGTCATTTGAGAGATGCAAGTGAAAACACTGAGATTCTACCTCACCCCAGAAAGAATGGCTGCTATCATGAAATCAACCAATCACAAATGCTGGCAGGCCTGTGGGGAAAGAGGAACCCTGCTCCACTGCTGGTGAGAGTGTAGACTGGTGCAACCACTGTGGAAATCAGTATGGAGATACCTCACAGGACTAGGACTGGAGGTCCCATTTGACCCCGCTATTCCCCTGCTGGGGATCTTCCCCAAAGAATTTAAAGAATCATACCACAGTGATATATGTGCACCCATGTTCATAGCAGCACAATTTGTAATAGCCAAAACTTGGAAGCAGCTGGAGACTGGATAAAGAAAATGTGGGGGGGTTTTATAAAATGGAGTACTACTCAGGCATAAAAAATGAGAAGTTAGAGACATTTATAGCTAAATGGATGTATATTGAGGTGATACTCTTAAGTGAAATAAATAGGACATTCATGTATAAATACCAAATAGTTTCTCTAGTGTAAGAAATTGAAAGTTTAAATAAGAACTAAAAAGTATAATAGATAATGTGAAATAGAAAGAAAAGGGGCAAAGCAGAAGAGGGAATTGGGAAGGGTAGGGGGAAGGAAAGAAGGGAATGGAATTAATATGAGAAAATGAAAAAATAGAAACAAAGTCTTTGTAAATAGGGAGAGATGGAGTGGTTGAAGGGAGGGCAGGAGAAGGGGCAAAAATAAGAACCAAGAGAGATTATGTAAAGGTGAAAATTTCCAATGATGAATGTCATTATATTGTACACCTAAAATGTACCAATAAAATAAAATTTAAAAATAAATAAATAAATGTAACTGAGTTAATTGAAACTTGGCTTTGGTAGAATTTACTGTATCTATCTCTGTGTGTTCTCTGCACCTACTCTCTTTTCCATCTACATTTTATCCCTTGGCCTGAACTAAAGAAAAGATGAAGATAATAAAAAGGTAATTGCCAACTTTTCTTCTTTTTTGCAGCCAGAAGAAAGAGGAAACAAATCTCGAGAATATCTGGTCCTGTTTCAGTTTTGCTTAGAAATGGCAACCCTAGTCTTAAGGACAAAGTTGATCAACTGAGCTTCCAGGCTTCCCTACAATAAAGGAGATCAAAGTAGATAGGGAACACAGTCATCAGGCCCAGATGTTTTGAATTAGTCAGGAGGACTTGGTTTTACCCGTGCTGTTAAGTATGGCAATCATGAACTGATTACCTTTACTGACATTTTAAGAGCAGCTGGTCTGAACACAAATGAAGAATTGGAGTTTACACCTTTCAGAGCCATTTCTATGAATACTTCCTTCCTAATGATGCGTTTCTTCACAAAGCTTCAGAGTTGTTAGAGCTCTTTATAGAGCCAGCTCCAAAAGTGGCCCCAGAGATAAATGGGCAGCTACTATTACAAAGCCCGGTAAACACTAGAGATGTCAGAGTGAAGTGGCTTTATTAAGACACTTGTTTCTGCTTAGGTTCTAAATTGTTTATAAGAGGAAGGAAAAGTAACAATTTAAAGCCAGAAACTTTACTGCCTCATTTTTGCATGCTAGGGGAAGTAGAATCTCTCACAGGGGAGACAGCTTCTTATTCAGGATTTTACCTTGCTGGGACACTAAATGGGAAATGTGACCTGCTCCTTCCTTCGCCAGGCTTTATGTTTCCACAGGAGAAACAGAAAGGAAGCTGGATCAGTGATCTGAACATAAGAGGAGTAAAATGTGGGAATGAGGGCCTGGGAAAAGACAACGAGGAAAGTCAGAGGAGAGGCTTTGGAGAAGAGACAGCAGAGACAGCAGCTGCTCATGGCTGGTGGTGGGAGAGCCATTGGCCACTCTTATGCTTGTCCCTGCTTCTGTTCACCACAGCCGTAGGGCTACTAGGAGGAATTCGGGACAAGTACAAAGAAGGCAAGCTTGCTTTCTACATGTCACGCCCTACTGTCATGGAGGTATGGACAAAGTACAGTGGAAACATCAAGAACCAACCAATCAGCCCTGGCACGGGGAGTCTGGAGGTCACCAAGAAGGGGATAGATGGGAAGGTGCTTACCAACTGGAGCAGGAACAGCAGGCTGAGCATTCTGTGAGGATACAGCCTATGCAAGCCACTCAGGTTTGAAAGGACCTGAGCAGTTTAGAGAAAAGTCAAATTTTGATGGCTTTTTTTGTTCAAGCTAAACTTTTTTCTTTACTGCTTAAAAAAAATAAGCAACAAAAAAATGAATATGAAGAGGACAGGGCATAAACAGATTTTTGTCATAATAAGGCTTGAGGTGTGCCTTCCAACCACTTATCTATTCAATAAATGTCCACCAAGCTCTTAGATGCCAGGACTATGCTAGGCAGGGAGAATTTAGTGATCAACCAACAGAATGGATCTTATTGTCAGGGCACTTACAGCTTGGCTAGGAGATTGATGTGAAAAAATCATCACAATAAGCAAAGTTTAACTATAAGTGGTGGAAAATTCTATGTAGGAAAGTCAAGCATTAGTGTGACAGAATTTAAAGGGAGACCTCACTTTGACTAGGGTTGGGTCAGAGTCAGGTCAGTAGGGCTTCCAGGTGAAACTCGATGGATGATTAAGTACTAACCAAGCTGAGAGGGTTGTCAGGGCTGTGGAGCTTAGGAACTAGAAGGTTACCAATCAATTAGTAAGCGATTCTAATGGGCCATGCAGATTGCTGATAGCCCAGCTACAAAAATTCAAGGCTTGGTCTGTGTTAGCCACCGATGCTACCTCTAGCTCTGACATTTGATAGCAAGAATCTGCTATAGCTAGGACATTGTACTAGGTGCTGACTAGAAAAGTAATAAACATATGTAAGATATAGCTCCTCAACAGAGTGATAGTCCAACAAATTGGACATTTGATGGAGGTTTACAGCTTAGCTACATATATATTATGTTTATAGGGCCTTAAAAAGATTCCTATAAAAGAGCAGAGAGACGCTGTTAAGGTCCCTTGCTTGCTTGCTTTTGGTGTCTTCTACTTGCCATGAACTTCTCCTCTGTGATGCCCCTCTGCTAAGGCACCCTGCCTTGGAGCCAGCTGATTATGGACTGAAACCTCCACAAACTGTGAGCTAAATCTTACCCCCTTTAAAAAAAACAGATTCTTATAACACTTTTCATTATTTGTTGTTGAAATTATAGAATGATCTATCACTCCCAGAACCCAACTTCTGCTTCCTAAGTTTCTTCTTTTGGATCAACTCTTATTTAAAGCTAAATAGTCACAAAAGGAAAGAAGGGAAAAGAATAAATATGAGAAAAGAAAAAATGGAAACAAAGTCTTTGTAAATGGGGGGGGGGGTGAACAGGTTGAAGGGTGGGAAGGGGAATGGGGAAAAAATAAGAACCAAGATATATTATGTAAAGGTATAAATTCCCAACAATGAATGTCAGCATATTGTATACCTAAAATGTACCAATAAAATTAATGAATTTTTAAATAGCTAAATAGTCACAAAGAAGTGAGAAAGTGTATGTGTACATATACACATATATACTTGGAATGTATATTTTATACATATATGATATATATGATATATCTGAGATTACAATGTCTGATACAGTATTGAATCTATGGCAACACTATAATAGGTAAAAGTGTCAGCAACTATCTGAAGAGCTGCCAATTTCTTGGTGACTACTTTTATCCCATAGGGGCAGTGCCTTGCACCTAAAAGGCATGCAAAAAATATTTGGATGGGTGGATGGAGGGATGGATGGATGGACAAATTCCTGCTTGAAAATATTTGACAAATAATCAGATGTCTGCCCCAAACTCTCTAGGACTAGGATACACATACTGTGTGACTATAATGCTGTCCTTAAGTGCTTTCACTGATGTGATAGATGAAAGGCCAAATGTATCTCCCACTCTTCTACCTAGCTAAAATAATTCTTGTTCTGCCCATTCAGTCTCTCTTCTTCCTCCAACAAGCTCCCAAGAGTTGTTCTCCCTGATACTCACAGCTTTTTGCATTCTGAATGGAGAAAAAAATGAGCAAAAGAGGTGAAAAATGCTTGGCCTAGGGTTAAGAGAAAAGTTTCATTTTTTTCTTACTCTTTCAATAAGTCATGTAATTTTACATAAATAGGATTATATTCTCTTTTTATTATGAGCACCTTTTAGAATAAGGTTTTATTTAATTTCTTGTTAGTTTGCTTACCTCTGCACCCCCAGGAAGAGTTCACTATCTATCCGCCTTTAATTCCTACCTACTTTTTAGAAGAAGAAGCTACCAAAGCAGCTATAGTGCACAAAGGAAGACGATAGAGAAGAAAAATCTTTAGCAGAGTTCTTAAATGCATGAACCCTCTTTATAGTATCTAAGAAGCACACACCAAGGAGGTGAGCTATGATAATAAATTTTGTCTTGGCTGCTGCTAGACTGTTTCAATAATCAGAACATGGCTCTGAAATGGGCTCAGGAGGAGACTATTCCAGTCCTCTGGGCCGTGACCTCCTTCCATGTAGGTGCCTCATGACTAACCTTTTAAGGAGTAAGGACAGATCCCAATTTCTGGAAGGTAGACACAGGACCTTAAGCAGGTGCCGGCCTAGACTAATATGTACAAGTTATAGGAAGGCACATTTAAGCTCAATACACTTAAATTTTTTCTAACAAGTAATGATTCATGAAAGAATGGGTACCCTGTCATGGTGTTAACAGCACTGACAAAATATATTCTGTTCTAGGTAGCTGGTTAGGCTAAATAACATCTCTAGTCCTCTTCTTCACTAAAATGCCCCTAATTTAAATACTCACTAAATGCACATGGAATGAAGAAATGTACAATCACTGGGTAAACCCAAGATGGAGCCCTTTTCCTGGCTCCACATCGGATTTCCAGAACACTAAGTAACCTGGGTGTTTTTTCAAGATGATTTCTCAATACAGTGGACCCTCCAGTTATGACTGGCTTGATATACAAACAACTTGAGTTAAAACCAGAATTTTAGTTTTGACTTATGACCAAAGCCTTGAGTTATGACCCAGATGCCAGCCCCTTGTGCTTCCAGATGGTCTCAGATACAGATTTAACCCTTAAAGAGTTCTGGAAGAATTGAAAAAAAAAAAAAAAAGAGTTCTAGAAGGAACATTACAACATCCTTTCCTGTATGAGGTTAACTGAGAAATCCTGAGCCAATGTCTCTCTAAGGACACTGAGATCTGCCTGTATATAGGAGAGAGACTTTGAAGGCTGTGTAGAAGATTCTGAATCTTTGTTCCCAACTTGAGTTACAACCAGCTCTCGCAAAAGCTCCTGGGCAGAAGTTTCTTTTTAAAGTTCTATTTTTTTCCAAACACCAAAAGGTTTGTTTAACCTGTACATTTACACTTACTACCAAACTCAGTGCCAAGTTTTGTTTTGTTTTTTGCTTAAATTCTTTTATTGGTACATTTTAGGTATACAATACATTTAAATTTATCATTGGGTACTTTTATCTCTACATGATGTATCTTGGTTCTTATCTTTCCCCATTACCTGTGCTCCCTCCACCCCCTCTACCCTTCCCTATTTACAAAGACTTTGCTTCAATTTTTTCCATTTCTCATAATTTTTCCTTTCCCTTCTTTCCTTTCCCCTTTCCCTCCCACTTCCCCTACCCCTTTGGACTTTTCTTCCTATGTCAAATGATCAATTATTCATTTTAATCATTTTAATCCTTATTTACACTTTCAGTTTCTCACACTAGAGAAACTATTCGGTATTTACACGTGTGTCCTATGTATTTCACTTAAGACTACGGCCTCAAGAGGCTGGGGATTTAGCTCAGTGATTCCACTGCCTGACCCGCAAGGACCCCGAGTTCAATCCCCAGTGCCAAAAAAAAAAGAGTATGACCTCAGTATGCATCCATTTAGCTATAAATGTCTCTAGTTTCTCATTCTTTATGGCTGAGTAGTACTCCATCTTATAAAAAACATCTTCTTTATCCAGTCTCCAGTTGATGGGCAATTGGGCTGTTTCCAAGTTTTAGCTATTACAAACTGTGCCGCTATAAACATGGGTGAGCATATATCCCTGTGGTATGATTCTTTTAATTCTTTTGGGAAGATACCCAGCAGAGGAATAGCTGGGTCAAATGGGACCTCTAGTCCTAGTTGTTTGAGGTATCTCCATACTGATTTCCACAGTGGTTGTACCAGTCTGTACTCCCACCAACAATGGAAAAGGGTTCCTTTCTCCCCATACCCCAGCCAACATTTGTTATTGGTTGATTTCTTGATAGCAGCCATTCTTTCTGGGGTGAGGTGGAATCTGTGTTGTTTTCATCTGCATCTCTTAAATGACCAGTGATGTTGAACATTTTTTCATATGTTTATTTTCAGTGCCAAGTTTTATCTGAACTTTTTTTAACAAAGACAAAGATTTGTGCAATTCAACTATAATGCAAATAAAATTGGCTACAGAGTTGTTCAAAGTGTTTCAAAAAGCACTTCCAAAAAAAAAAAAAAAGCACTTCCTTCATATCATGGAGAGGCAGAAGCTCCATCAGTGACCACAAATTAAATTGATATTACTCTCCAATACTTTCGGCATGCCAGAAAAAATGTTAAAAAGCAAGATTAGATTGTGAACAATATAATCAGATGCATTTACAATATAGAGTTAATTGATAATTTATTATGTGCTAGGCACTGTGTTCCATGTGCATTGTCTCCTAAAGTCCTCATAGTGACCCTACAATGAAGGCTCTGTTATTTTCTCTTTCTTTTCTGTAACACCTGGCTTTGGATGCCCCTCATTTATCTAGTTCCACACTCTGGAAAGTTCTTGATCTTCCGTTAGTTTCTTTTGCTATTTCTGAAATTCATATGATGATGTTCACTCTCCTTAAGGAATTTGTGACCCAGGAAGTGTGGGAGCCACGAGTCATTTCAACTCTCATGAGTTTTAGTCAATTACAGTTTTCTCCAAACTTCAGTACACTTTCCATATATTGGCTTACAGTCAGTGCCAGAAACCACATCCATAGTCCTGGTTTGAAAAATGGATTTCAAAACTACTTTTTGATTCCTTTGTTAATTGCTTTCAACTTAATGGCCACATACTACATTCGATCTTTGCCCCAAGTCATGTGAATCATCTGTATTTCTGGACATTTTTTACTCACAGCCACTTTATATCACATTTCTCTCAGTTTTTGGTCCGGATGCAGTGGGTTTTCCAGTCTTTCAAGGCCTCACATTTCTGCCACTTCTTTCTAGAGAGCATCTTACTCTTTTTTTTTTAGTTCTTTTATTGTACATTTTAGGTATACAATTCGTTTTCATTTACATATATCATTGGGTGTATGTACCTGTACATGATGTATCTTGGTTCTAATTTTTTTCCCCATTACCTATGCACCCTTCACCCCCTCCACCCTTCCCTATTTACATAGATTTCATTTCCATTTTTTTTCTTTTCTCATAGTTTTTCCTTTCCCTCTTTTCCTTTTCCCTTCCCCTCCCTTCACTCTTTCGTCTTT